TGTCAGCGCCATAAAAGCAACTAAGGGCATTAAAGGAATATTTACAGCTTCTAGAAAGTAAAATTGGACAATTATAATTTGGGGAAAAAATAAGTTTACGCTTAAAATGTGTTGTCTGCCTGAAGTATAGTTCATCATGCATTGTTCCCCTCTCTCCCCCAGCTCTTCTGCTGTTGTACCCTGTTTCAGAATGTATTGGACATTAAATTGTAGTAACAAATCCACTAGAACTAATAAGAACATCCTAAAAATGTCTATTACAGTCATGTGTACACGAGTTACCATGGTAGACACATAGACATATATTGATAAAATCTTATCATGCTCACCTTGTTCTGTCCCATCCCTCCTGAAGGTCCCAGCCTCAGTGAAGCAGTACACCGTTGCTCCAGTCGACAGTGCCAGCATCCTCCTGGTCATTGAAGGTGACGCTACGGCAACCTGTGCCGCTGCCCTTTCCGACATCACGCTGAGGCGGGGCACCGTCCTGTTTGTCTCGGCCAACGAGAGCGTCTCCCTGCACATCACTTCTCAGTCGGGGATGGCCATGTTCCGAGCCTGCTGCCTCCTGTAGCTATGAGTCTGTGGCTATGTGTGAAAGCTCATACTACCTGTGTGTTTTCCTCTGGTTTGACTCAACAACTCTACACCGTGTTATGGATTGAGCCCAATGATCTTTGTGCACTTCTTAGTAAGTAGTATGCTAAAAGAGCTTTCAGACACTGCGTGTCGATGCTCGTCTGTGCCCGCTGCTCCCCCCAACCCTAATTTGACCTGCGGACTGCTCTGCCGCCTCCAGCAGTGTTCCTTCACTTTAAAATCCAGCAGTGATCCATCGCTGCTGGATTTTAAATGTCTTTTTAACTGTCCTGTTTTTTACCTGTAGTGGTGCAATTACATCTTATAGAAAGAGCATACATCCCAAATTCCTCTTAGGTACACACGGAGAATAAAAAGTAAAATACGTTCACAACACTGAACAGGACGCGATATAAAAAAGTGCAAATGACGCTGTTAAGATCCCTGGATCCTCGAAATGTTCCTGATGAGGCTTATGATGAAGATCGACTGATCAAAATGTTGCATGAAAGCTTATTCTTGACCTTGGAAACCGCAGTTGAGAAAACAATCTCATAAGATCTATTTAGCTTTAAGCTAGAAAGAAATTCAAATGTGAAAATCTACAATTCCTTGAAAACGGACCAGACACTATTTGCTGATAAAGGTCATAAGATATCATAAGCTAATAAATAAACCTTTTTGTGAGATTGTTTTCTCTAAATATTGTTCATGTGCAACTTACAATGTGTTTTTTACTGGTCAGTTTTTGTGGCATTCTCCTTTTTATTCTTAATACACTTACAGCTACACTTACAATATTCCTAATACACTTCCAGCTGTATGTTGTTATCTTCCAATGTGAGATAGAGATAACATGCACTAACAGTGATTTATTCCAACAGCACTGAAGCAGGGTAGGGGATATGTTTACAATGGTGCAGTACACCACCACTCACTGCTTTGTACAAATACAGTACCACCTTGTTGAGAACTGAGCATGTGTTATATGAGCCAGCAGTTTGTCGTTCTCCAGGATCACTGGTGCAACTTCCTCTTTTATCATTTTAGTTTAGCTTGAACAAGTAAATATCCTCCTCTGGGAAAAATACAATGTTAGTATATCAACAGTTGAGAGTATGTAGTATTATACTGAGATGCCTGTGCATGTTTGATTTAGAGCAGTAATACTGGAGAGGGCCTCGACTGTGATAATGGTAGGAGCCACCAGTCACAGTGAAGTTGACCCTGGATAGTTTTACTGCTTTTAACTGTTACCAGCGCATGTTGACGGTCTGGAAACTTCTCCTCAAAGTAGTGAACAATCATAAAAATGAAACAAGAAAAAAAAAAAGCTATCAAAAAGGGCCACTAACTATCTTTGTCCCATGAAGCACGGCAACATGGGAATCAGGAATGCATATTGATTAAAACTCCAACATATATGATTGAAAATGCACTACTGCTGCTTGTTCCATACTCAATACAATTTGACCCGAGTCGGTTTACACATCCACGTCTTGTACAGATGTACAACAAAATGCTGCATTCAATTTTATAGCATTATAGGAACAATCATGTCCGTATTTGAAGCCAAATTTTTCAGACTTTGCATGTTTTGTTGTTTGTACTGATTCATCAATACGTGACATTACATATGAAGAGAATTTGTCCCTGGCTTTATTATAAGGTTGTATCTGTACATTGTCATATCATGGGGGTGAGTGGCTTATCTTTACTGTAAAATATTTTATGGTGACCACTTTCCAACACTGTTGATACAATACTGCAACTAGATTATTTCACGATGGTGCAAACATCTGCATAATATTCCAGTTCACACCAGGGTTAGTCTGAATTCAATCATGAAGAGGACTTTCTTGTTGCAACAGTTTTTATAGGTAGTCTTGAATCAAATATTTGAGTACGATTGCTCTATCAGCCTGCCAACCTACCACTGAGTAAATATTTCTACATGACTACAGTGAAATGAGCCAATCCTGCTAATGTTTTTACCTACTGACCATGTTAGCGATGTAGGTTGATCTCTAAGCTTGACCCTAATGTAGATGATGTTTGTGGTTGCTACGACTGTTGAAAAAAGGAAGAATATTAAGAGATTGAAGGACGTTAATAGTTAAAATTACTGCACCTTTTTGATTAAAGAACCATTACCTCAAATTCATCCTTCTGTATCTCTAAAATTGTAGAGCTTCTAGTTATTTTTGTCAACAAACAACCTATTTGCCATCTTTTCTAAATGTTTTAATTTAGTGAGGTAATCTTATAGAGGTTAATGTTTTAAACAGTATCTGATTTTAATTTGTCATTCAACTATCACACCTTTGTTACTGATCTTGTTTTGAGTCACATTTTACTGTCCAGGACTTTGCACAGAAATTATTTGTTATTCCTTTTTAGGATTTTTTTCACTTTCAACTCATGTCCTTCAAATGCACACAAATCTGAAGGCCACAGTGTTTTACCTTAATTGTTTTATTTAACTATTGCGAGAACATTTCTTGGAATATTTCTAGTGAAAGCATGGTTTAGCATTTTTGATTAATGGTGATGCTGTAGCCTGGGACTGCAGAGAACATGTGTATGTAAAAGTGGTTTAATAAAGCGTTGTTCTGTCACTAAACTACCTGAACGCCTTCGTTTTTTGTGTAGCATCTGTACCGCTAGTTGTTGTTTAAACCTTATAGGAACAGTCAAAACACATTAAGGGCCTGGTTATTCTGATAATGGCAATAATTCAACATTACTGTGTGTTGGAATCGTATGGTATGATCATGTTTTGATATTATATTGTGTTATATTCAAGTCCGATAGAGAAGTTTATGCATTAATTATACATTTCAATATTTTCTGGATAATTTAGCCATATAGTGATACATATCAAGTTAATAATAGTAATTAGTCAGTAGTTAGTTAGTATTAGTAATTTAAAAATATTCTTATTGATATTGCGATCAAACACTAACAAGCAATGAAATATAATATTAAGGACACACTGTAGTTATACATTTATTAACAGATTTATTTACCTCCATTAAAAATACGTTGTCTTTGAAACTTTGACCTGAATTCATACATAAATATTTTCTCAGTAACCAAACTATATACATAAGGGGAATTTCCATCTGTCGTCACTATTTACACTCAATGATGACTGACAATCAAGCTAAGACACATATATTAAAATCTTCCTACCATCATCTAAATTTTCATCCTTTATAAATCATAAACAGATATCTGAACTTTGGCTTTTTGTTAAGAAATACTGAAGAGGTAGCAAACAGTACGCAGCCATCTTAAAACTCTTAAGAAGGTCTTACTACAGCTGCATCAAACCCCCATGTAACCAATCTGCTTAGTATTGTGCAGTTTTTGGAGTAATGAAAAGCATGACTGAGGCGTACACACACAAAACTTCAGATTAACAAAGCCAATGAAGGAAGTCAAGAATAATTAAAGACCATATTGGGCTATGGAAAAACCAGCCATATCCTAATATTATGCTGCCGACTTACAGATGTGCATGTATAGTCTTTATAAGCTTCCCTCGGCTTTCGTTCCACCATCAACCTTTGGAAAAGACTCTCTCTCTCTCTCTAGCTCTGTTTGCACAGGAACAGCCTTCTTGTTTTGTGCCACCAACCAGTCCAGTGGGTTTCATGTTCTAGTGTGTGGCACACAATGTCATCATACAGGCTGATGAAAGCTGCCAGTCTTCTTGCGCAATGGTCTCACTTGTTTACTGTATTTATTTCTCAGTCAGATAATAATTTATTTGCAAATAGTTTTATAATTCATTAAGTTCCTCTGCTTTGCTCTCTGTGGCCTTCACTGTCTGCCTGATGTGCTCCCACAGGGGGCGCTCTTCTGGTAGGTTACAGGGCATTTTAGATTTCACAGTTGGTTTGTTTTTCATGGTGTCCAGAGTAAACTGATGCCTACAGACCACCTCTGGTGTGGGCTGAAGCACACTATACAGAGCCTGTAATGCCCGAACATCCTCCAAAGCATCATGGGCCTTGTAGTTCACACCCAGCAGCTCCCTGACCAGGTTTTCCTGTCGAAAACTCTGGAGGCAGAGGTCCTTCAGCATCTCGCGAGCCAGGGGTAGAGTGTCAACACAGCCTGAGACCGATGACTCAAACTCTGCTCTCAGGTCCAGTTCATCGAGAGCTCGAGCCAACAGCGGACAGTCGAAGCGGCGGATGTTGTGGCCAACAACAAGTGGGCGTCCGAGCATCTGAAGGAAAGCTATGAAGGAGACCAGGACCTCTCGTAGGGAGTTGGTGAGGACAAGTTGTCGATGGAGGTACAGTCTGTGTCTGCGGACCCTGAAGCCGGTCACTTTGGCTGCTCCCCGCTGGATACGACCCCGGGGGATGACGTAGAGGTTGAGTGAGTGACCTCCACTCACTGCAGCCAGCTGGACGATCTCACAGGACTGACCTGGAGAAATAAAACATGTACAAGGCACCACGTCATACGCTTCAGAGGACTGAGTCGCTGATAACCTCCATTAGATAAAATCATACTTAAATGTATACTTTATCATGATGATAATCATCTGGAAAATAAATTCAGAAAACTGTTAACGGAGTAAAAAAATATACAACTGTATGTCTTGTCTCTTTTGGGTAATTCAGCAAGTTAAATGCCAAAAATCTGCATAAATCAAGGTGTTTTATTAATTTTTAGAATCAATGAAAAATAAGACAGACAACAACATTACACACACTGCAGATGTAACAATATGAAACTGTGGCAAAACCTCATATGGTCCCACAGTATATATTGTTTTTATCCAGACCTAATGATAATTTGGATTTGATTTGACTAACTAATGAATCTTTTAAGCAAACTGTAAAAAACTTCACTGTGAAAAATTATGAATTGCTGCCCCGTTAACTACGACAGAGCAAAGTCCTTATTCATTTTAAACTAGATAGTCTTTTCATGCATCAATTCAACTTGTATTAAATGAGATAACAGTGAAACTAAAGTAATGTTGCTGGTATCCAGTGTGTACAGCTCGTATGATTATCCACAAAGAACATGCAGTGACACTGATCTTACCCAGTCCAGTTGTCTCCAAGTCAAAGAAAACCAGTTGAGACGTCTTCAGTCGGTCTGGTTCTGGTTGTTGCATCCCGCCACAGCGTCAACTTTAATATGACAGTGGAGTTTAGTGAAATGAACAGAGACACACTAGAGACACAATGGCGTCAGTAAACTCGTGTATGCAGATTTTCCCTCCGTGTTTTTAAATACCTGCGTACAGACAGCTGCAACGGGACAGCGACACTTTCAAAACAAAAGCCTCTTTGAAGATGAGTTCACGGACGAGAACAAGATAAACTAGCTGTAGCCCATTAGCCGAGCACTAACAACAGATATAAACTGTGGGTACAGTGTATAACGGCGCCAAATTAAAGTATTATTTTCCTTAAAAAACTAGACTGAACAGGAAAACTTTCTTTCTTCTTCTTCTGTAGAATATCAACCACATACAAACGTCCCGGGAACAGTGCTGCCCTCCACAGGAAATAAATTAACACGCAACCAGACAGTAAATAAAAAGATACACTGACTAATAGTATACGTCCATATGTAAATAAATATATGAGCAGTTTGATCGGTGGACATACCTATATATATAATAATAGAATTGTAGATATCAAAGATCATTTATTTCTATATATGTACATATATAGAAATGTATCACACATATATGTATATAGTTATATATAAATTTACTACTACTAATACTGTGCCACAAACCCTTGTGAAAAGTCTTAAAGATTTGGCATGGGTTTAATGGGTTTATTACACCTGTACACTGTAGGTAGGTAGGTGGTAGCTGCAGGTAATGAAGATGATAGCAGAAAGAAATGTTGAAACACAGAATGGGAGATGCAGTCCATGCTGGTCCACGGAGGCTGGTCCTTGAACAGATTTCTCCCTGTATGATTACTGAACTTAGGCGCAAATAAAATAAAAAGTAAAATACCAAGTTGTGTATAAGAATTATATGAAAGTTTATTGGTTCTTGTTTGGCAAACTGTGCTACATTTGACTGCAAAGACAAAGTACATTTGTGAGACATGTTAAAAAACATTAAACATTTGAAAAGCTTTCAAATATAAATCATTATACAGAAGGAACATGACTTATTTGTGAGTTAACAGGCATTATTTGTCTCCATTCACAAGAAAATTAATTTACCCGTCATTTAATATTTTTTCTGAATGTTCAAAGTCTGTCCAACAACCTGAGGGTTCATGATGAGAACAAAACTTATATTTTAGATGGAATATTTTTTTTTCATGTACAGTTTGGTCTCCTCTTGTGTTTACTGTAGCTTTTTTTTAAAATGCTAGGGACGACCTGTAGGTAAATCTGGTGATATCCCATCTGCTAGGGTTCCATGTGTTGAACACCTCCTGCAGCATCCTCGCATCCTCCATAGCATTGTGAGCGTCATAGGTCTTTCCAAGGAAGTGGCGGACCAAGTTCTCCTGAGAATAACTGTTCAGCCCATGAAAGACATTCTTGCTGAGCAGGAAGGTATCCAGAAACCCAGACACCACCTGCTGGAACTCCTGCCGGAGGAAGAACTGTGCCAGCACTCTGGTGAGCACAGGCGCGTCAAACCGCCTTGCACTATGGGCCGCCAGCACCACAGGGCGGCGGAAGGAGCAAAGGAAGTCGATGAAGGAGGTGAGAGCATCAACAAGTGGGATGGTGTGTACTGGCTTCCCACGGAGAAACAGGCAGCCATCGCTGACGGTGAAGCCTGTGACGTTTTTGGCGCTCTCAGTGAGGTCGCGGCGGGGGAGGGTGTAGGCGTTAAAGACCTTCTCCCCACAGATGGCCGACAACTGGATGATGTCACACACTGCAGTGTCTGAAAGTAGGGAAGAGATGGATTAAAGGAGGATAATAAAATAAAAAAAGAAAATATAAAAACATATAGGTTACAATATTTAAAATGATAAAAACATTGTCAGCAATTGTTGAGGTTTTTTCTGTCTTTCACAAAGATGTACTGACAGTGTGTTGTAGGACCAAATAACCAAATATCGCATGAAGCGGTGTAAATTAGTATACTGCTGTTTTACCTATCAGCACCTTTAAAGCTAACTAATTAACAAATTATATTAATTATATAAATTATATCTGTGAAAATGATGTGCTGGACTCTCTTGTTTCCAGGCTACCACAGGTCAGGAGTGCTATCAATCTTCCCATGTAACTCAGCGAGAGTCCAAAATGTCAAGTGATAACAACTGAACCATCTTTGTGACAACTGAGGAAATTCCTTTGCTTCTTCAGAAGTGTAAACAATGTTTCTTTTTCAAAAGTATTCCTTCTTGTTTATAAAGCTATTGCCTAGCAACGCGAGCAGCTAGAATTATACCGAACAGAACGTGAATTTCCTGATCTTCAAAACAGAAAAGCAAGATCAAAAAGCTGATATGTAAATAAAAGAATCACTGATATACACGTTGTGGTCCAAAGGCTGAATTTTGTGGTTTCTTAATTCTAATCAGAGATCAGCTGACATGGTGATGTAACTATTTTTTCTGTCATGGCATCCTGCCAAATGTGTGATGGTATGTGTGTGACACTGAGTCATTTGAACTGTATTAAACTGTACCACCCTAACCCTAACAGTAACCCCAACCCTGCCTTATTTTCTCAATTAATTGATTTATCATTTGGTCTTTAAAAAGAAAACACTGAAAGTTGTTGCCAAGCTCGCAGGGGTTTGAGTTGAATATTCTAGGATATGTACTATAATGTGTAATATAATTAAATCTCCATGTCGCAACAGCAGAGGCATCCTGTTGCAGCTACAGGAAGAACATCTCTGGTTTGTCTGTGGTTGGGCCTCAGTTGTGTAATATTCAAAGTGTAATGACTACCACGTAATCATACTCCGCCCTTCACTAACCAAACCATAATCTTTCATTTATCATGATCTCCATGGACTAGAAGAAACAGTTAGTTCTTATGTGAGATTAGAAACCACGGAAGATAAAAACTGTAATACAGTCTTATCCTCCTTATCACATAAAGACTCCACCTCAGTTACAATGTTGGCCAATATCAGTTGAGTTCCAAGGTAGCATCACATACTAATGCATCACTAATTATAATAAAGTGATACATTATTCTTAAATAGACCATTATGTATAATGGGTATACTCTTGGTACTTTAAATATAATTTGATGCTAATTTACTTTTACCTTATTATTGTAAGATTTTAAAAGCAGGACTATTAACTAGAGTAATTCTTCCACTACAGGTTAAAAGTACATTATAATTTTGACAAATAAATCGTAGTAATGAAGGCAACAAAATGTCGCTGAAAGCATTAGAACACTGACTGCTATTAAATAAAGTTAAATAAAAGGTAATATTCGATTCAGCTGATGACAATGTGACTGATGAAGTATTGATAAGCAGACAAACAGATTCAGAGTTAACATTACCTAATCCAGTGGTCTCCAGGTCAAAGAAAACGATGGTTTTATCATCAGACATCTGCAGGAGTAAAGAGATTTGAACATGAGCTGAAACAGCCTCAGCGTCTGACATCACTGACTGTCAATGAAATAAATAATACTCCACAGTTAGCTTCCAGCTAGCAATGAGACTTCATCTGAGCCTGTGCGATAACCTGAGGAATGGAAGAAAAAGCTCACCGTGGGCTGTTGGATGTGGTGTCAGGCTGTCAGCTGAGTGGTGAGGCAGATGTGAAGTCAGCTGTTATAAGCTCTCATATCTCCCCGACCGAACCGGGAGGAAGCAACAGGTGAATCACTGCCCCTCAAACTGGAGCTCTACTTTCATTTCGGAAGAAGAGAAACTCGACGTATTTGTATTTCTAATGAATCACCTCCCTGCTCGGTTGTGCTGATGTGGTCGCAGTCACAAAAAACAAAAGGTATTTACCGTGGACGGGCGGAATCTTCGTCGCTGTTCTCCTCTGTTGGTTTCATTTTTGACCTGGTGGCTGACAGGAAGTAAAGGCTTTTGTTGTGGTAACTGTTGCGTGGACAACATGAGAATGAAACTTACATTTTAAAGAACGAATCGATTGTTAGATAAACACAAACATATTAAAAGTTATAAAAAATATAATACATCAATTGATGATTGATTGACGATTATGGATTTCTGTGGATTAAGCTGCCTGCCAGTATATCATTATATAATTATTATTATCAGCTGAACATTAAAGTGATGTTTACACATTGTTGCATCACTAATTATAATCCAATGATATAATATATATTATACTAAAATTTGTATTTTTACTTATGTTTCTTATATATTGTAGACATATTTTGATGTCAATACTTTTGTACCTTTAGGCCTACTTTATTTGAATGTATGACTTTTATTTGTAACAGAGTATTTTTAACCCAGTAGTATTGATCTGAGTAAGAGTGTGCAACAATTAAGAGGTTTTATTCAGTAATCCATCTATAATAATCTATATGTTCACTAGTAAATATAAAAAATAATTGTAATAGTTAAACACCGGTTGACATACCCGATACTGACAAACCAGTTATTAGTAATTGGCCTTTTTCAGTCAATATTCTGATCTCAACCACATTAATAAAAACACAGGCGCGTCTAATGACATTAATGATGACTCTTCTGTTCATGTGTCTCAGTGAGTCATGACAGTGAGTCAGCATGCATGATACCAGGAGACTGAAACTAAACTGACTTCTGTCTGTCTCTGTCTGCCTATTTATGGCATACTTTTGGTAAACAGCCGTTTTTCATGGACTGGTTTGGGCATGATTAGGCCTGCACAGAACCCGGATCTCAACCCCATCCAGTGCCTTCGGGATTAACTCAAATACTGACTGCGAGCCAGGCCTTTGTCGCCCAACATTAGTAGCCGATTAAAGGTACACTGTGGACTTTTTGAGGTCTTCTCTTCTTTTGTATCACGTTCATGCGCAGGCAGGTGGAAGTGGATTCACATTTAACAGTAAGTGGCAGTAACATGCAAAGAAGTACAGTTCAGAAATACAGTACAGTTCAGAAATACAAATATTTATATATATACAAATATATATATACATGGCACTAATCAACTATGGAATAGCTACCCAACCCCACCCCTCTGTGGTTTTTTTTTTCAGACTGGGCCTGCAATCGGTAAAGTCCAGGGTACACCACTGCGTAGACTGTGCACATCCCAATGCATGCGTCTCCTGAGTTATCTATTTTAAGTTATTCGAGCTTGTCTGGAAAGTAGTGGGGGACACCAAGCTGAGGAGGTATCTGCGGTGTCCCGTCTTTTCTTCTGCTTCATAAACTTAGATTGAAATGCAACGTCCCCAAGGACGGCTCACAATCCAAATTATACAAGGAGACACAAACCGCCCTCGAGCAAACAGAAATGACCAAAGTCGCTGGCAAAATATTGTTTCAGCTTTGAGT